GAGGTATTACCAGACATGTGGTCAGAAGCACCTGAGTCAATAATTCACGGATTTTGACTTTCCACAAATTGTGAAATGCAAGCGGTTGACGAATTTGGTGTTGTAGATGCTTGAGCCAAATTGGTTGATTTCATCCTTAAATATTCTTGATACTCTTCATGAGAGAACTTGGGCTCATCAGCTTCAGATTTTGAGGTATTAGTTGCCTTATCAGGAAAGTCGTGCAGAGCAAAACAATTTTCCTTAGTATGTCCCATTCTTTTGCATATGAGAGCACTGAGGACGTCCTTTCCCACCACGTCCTCTATTGCTGTGATTACCTCTTCCACGAGCATAAATCATGGCGGAAGAATTAGCAAGTTCCTGACTGTTTTTGCTTTTGATAGAAGGAACACGAAGTAGCCTTGTGATTAAACTATCTGTAGAAGGAACTTCTTCTCTAGTTAGAATATGGTCTCTAACATGATTAAATTTTGGATTCATAGCCCTAAGAATCATTACCATATAAAATTTATCCAGCTTCGTCTTTCTTTCCTCTAATGATTCTGCCTCCAGGAACATTTTTAATTCTTCAACTGCTGATTGAGTTTCAGCAACAAAGGACATCATGGAATTATCCTCTTGCTAAGGGAGGCTAGTCTATTAGCAGAATCATAGAGTCGTTGAATATCATTAGGAAAAATATTTTGGGCATTTTTCCAAAAGGAATTACATGTCTTGAAGGATTGAAGAGTGCTCAAAATATTTGGTTCAACAGATTGCCATAATAGTGCAGAAAGTTGATAATCCAGTTTCTTCCATTGAGGAGCCTGATCTGCTGGTTTAGTACTTCCATCTTCTTTTAGATGATCATGAACTCCTTGTCCTAGAAACCAGAGCTCAACAGAGGAAGTCCAAGACAAATAATTTTTCCCCATTTAATTTTTCTGTGGTTATAATCGGAGTCCGAGAAAAAGATACAGACACATGTCCTGACATTTTTTAGGAAACAAGAGAGGACCAGCGTGTTGTCTATGGAAGCAAAGAGAGGCAGATAGAAGACCAGGAGTGGCAGAGAGAAGACCTGTATATGGAGGCAGAGAGAAGAACGCAGACCCACCAAAGTTTTGTGACAGAGAACACAAAACAAAGTGTAGATCTGGCTCCAGGGTGACGAGGCGAGCCAAATAGAGGTGGTCTAGAGCAAAACAGCCATCGGGAGGGCGGCGCGTGAGGCTCACGCGTGGAGGAAGCCGTGGACCAAGGTGGCGCGTGAGGCAGAGATGGAGGAAGCGATCACTGGGTTGGGTCGTGCTCCTCGAGGCGAGCCTAACCCAAGTGTCAGAGAGAGAAACGGCGCCAGAGAAAGGCTGCACTGGCGGCGGACGGCGGTGGATGGCGGCGGACAGCGGTGAGCAGCGATTAATGCCAGAAAAAAAGAAGAGACAGACAGAGGGGGGTGAACCCGCTCTGATAGCAACTTGAAATAGAAAAAAAGAAAAATAAAGAACTGATTTTGAGAGCCTGAAATCATTATCTTTTGTTCTCTTATTTATAGGAGATAAAGATAGAAATTCAGAAATATAATTAATAGAGAGAAATGATTAATCCTAGAGAAGATAAACAGATGCATTCTAGGAACTAGGTCTACAACTAATCTCATAAATGACCAACAAGATACAACGAATCTAATAAATACTTAAACAGTAGTCAAATAGATATTTAAATCATATCACATTATATGAGGCAGACAATGTGGACTTCCAATAGAAAGGCAGGTAAAGGACATTGGAAAACATGTTGGGAAATACCTTATTTGCTAACAAGAAAAAGGTTTAAAATGAGCTACTTACTAGTTTATTATTGCTAGTACCAATTCCTTATATCATTAGACTTGCTCCATCAAATGGCTTTATAGTGATTTATGCAGTAGTGGACAAATTTTTCAAGTATGCTCACTTTGCCTCCCTTAAGACTATTGTTGATGCCTTCATGAAAAACGTGGCCAAAGTACATGGCATTCCCAAGACCATAATCCTTGATAGAGATACAATATTCACGAATCAGTTTTGGAAGAACTATTCAAACTAAGTGACACCACATTAGCACTGAGTATTGCATATCTCTTTAGATGAATGGAGAATATGAGACTATCAATTGTTGCTTAGAGATGTATTTGTGTGGTTTCACATATGCTAATCCTAAAACTTGGACCAAATTCATTTCCTTAGCTTGAATTTTGGTACTGTTAAGGTTCCAACATAAAACTGATTGGCAATATGTGGAGTAGTCTAACATGTATTTAAACCATACCAAATGACATGAGGTAGGCGATGTGTGACTTCTAACACGCCCCCTCCAACGAAGCCTGCCGGGCCAGGCAAATGGTACTTTTGACCCACAACAAAAGGGCAACTCTTGGCCCAAGACAATAACCGAAAGATGTTAGACTTTGGCTCTAATACCATGTTAAGGTTCCAACATAAAACCGATTGGCAATATGTGGAATAACCTAACATGTATTTAAACCATACCAAATGACATGAGGCAGGTGACGTGGGACTTTCAACAGATACAACACTTATGACCTCATTCCCCCATTCCATGTTGTATATGGGAGATCCTTCTCGACTTGAGAAATATGTCGTGTATAATAATGATCCTATGGACCTTCAAGAAATGCTACAACAAAGAGATTTGGTTTTGTCTCTACTTAAGCAAAACTTAATTAAAGCACAACAAATAATGAAGAAGAATACAAATAAAAATAGGAAGCATCTTGAGTTAGAAAAAGGAGACATGGTCCTGGTGAAACTTCTGTAATATAGACAGAATTTAGTAGCTCTAATAATAGACCAAAAGCTAGGAATGAGGTATTTTGGACCTTTTTCAATTGTGAAGAAAGTGAGTTCTATTGTTCTGAGCTGAAACCATGTTGACTACTGAGGTTGGTTGATTTTGGAACCTATTGCTATCTCGTAGACTAGGGTGATTCTCAAAGGTGATCAGCAGGTCCTAGTTCAATGGTATTACTGTTCTTTGAGAGAAAGAGAGTGAGGAGTGAGAAAGAAAAATTGGAAGAGAATATCTATTCATTGACGTCACAAAATTACAAGTCGCTTCATATAAATAAAGACAGGATTACAGCTGTTATAAAAACAATAATAGAATAACTGATGTCTTAACAACTAATGGGAAGATATACTATTCACAAATGGGAAGTCCTTGGTGAGATACATTCAACATGGGAGGATTGGACACTATTCCAAGAGACATATCCTAATACCAACCTTGGGGATAAGGTTGATTTTAATAAGGGTGATTATTAGAAAATGTAGTAGGAACAAACATTAGTTGCAATGATGACCAAGCATGGCTGACAAACTATCGCTTGGGAAGGAGCATAATAAAAAGCAAAAGGGTAATGTGGCATTGTAGTAACCTTCATCCATTGTTATGCGCATTATAGTAAATAATACTAAAGAGACCATGTCATCCATTCTATTCATTTTTATTCATTCCTTCATTAATCCCTTATATCCATCATTACAACATGTGCTTGGGGACAACAATAATTATCTCCCAAATCTCATTTGATACCATTTTCTATGGACATTTGATTTGTAAAGAATAATTTCTTTCTTAGTCTTAGAAAGTGGATTTGGCCTTATTAAAGCTATAAAACTGACATGTAGGTGATGTTTTCACCATATTCATATACTATAATTTAGCTATATATCTAGTCGACGTGGGATTTTTAACATAACTCTCTTGTATTAAGGATTTGGGTTGTCCTTAAATAGGTGGTACAATAGTTCGAACAATATATTGTTAGGATAAACTTTGATGCTGTATTAGGAAACAAATTTAAGCCTTAACTCAGCTCTACAAAACTAGCTTGTAAGGGGAGGTTTGCAATAGTTAATATAACTTATATACTATAATTTAACTATATATATAGAGGCGATATGAGATTTCCAACATTTAATATCCTTTTATTGTATTAATTCTGTCAAGTTCAAACCTTGTGGCAATCTATAGATTTTACATTTTGTCTTTCTCTAATAGAATTAATTTTTGGTATATACTAATGATTGTGTTTTACAGCATTAATTTTACTCTAATATGAAGCCATACTACTGATCTAAAGCCCTTTTTAACATCCTTTTTTCAGGTACCAGTCACGTCATCTGAGCAACAATGGTTGGAGCCATCTTTACGATTGAATGTTCCTTTGGTTGATGTAGATAAGGTATATTTATATTCTAAGCATCATTCTTTTCTGTTGTCCATTGAGGGAAATGGAAAGGTTTGGGTCTTAATGCGTAGGGTTTCTCTTGGATGAATCAATGGTACAAAATAGGGTGGCTGGAGAAAACCTGGGACTTTATGGTATGGGGTTTAGATGAAATATAGGTCATTTTCTTGAATGATTCTGTAGTGTTGCCTGAAATAAATTCAGATCTGGGAAGTCAGAAAATCTTAGGCGTTAGACAGCTTGAGAAAGAAAATAAACTTGTTGACACGTTTTGGCTTGCTAAAATAATTCATAAACCATCAATGCTGTTTAACCTAACTATTAAGGTTCCAACATAAAATCAATTGGCAATATGTGGAGTAGCCTAACATGTATTTAAACCATACCAAATGACATGAGGTAGGCGATGTGGGACTTTCAACACACCCCCTCCAACGAAGCCCGCCGGACCAGGCAAAGGGTACTTTTGACCCAACTAAAGGGCAACTTTTGGCCCATGACAATAACCGGAAAGATGTTAGGCTTTGGCTCTGATACCATGTTAAGGTTCCAACATAAAACCAATTGGCAATATGTGGAGTAGTCTAACATGTATTTAAACTATACCAAATGACATGAGGTAGGCGATGTGGGACTTTCAACACTAACCTTATCTAGTTTCCGCATTGTATTTTTCAATTTTCCCTCATTCAAAGAATTCTGTTAAATTTAGTCTTTTATGTCGTTTTGTTGCTTATATTTATTCTTACTGCTTTTACCTCAGGTGCGATGCATTATAAGGAACATAGTTAGGGACTGGGCAGTAGAGGTAACCCGTGTTAATTTGTTGCTTTTATTTTAATAATTTTTTTATTTTAATTTGGTTATCATGAAAAATTTAATTCATTATCCACTTTCATGATTCTGCAAATGTATCTTAACAGGGTAAAAAAGAACGTGATGAATGCTACAACCCTATACTTGAAGAGCTTAATATGCTATTTCCTAATCGCAGTAAAGAGAGGTAAAACATAACATCTTGATACTGGCAGAAATTTTTTATTTGGGTTTGCAGATTGTTTGTACAATTTGTTTTTCACTAAAACCATGGAAATTCTGAAACAGTCCACCTGCGTGTTTAGTTCCTGGTGCTGGACTTGGTCGGCTGGCCCTGGAGATTTCATGTTTAGGTGCGTATGTATTACCAGGTTTACATAGGAATTATGATTGGTATATATTACTAATACATCATATTTTGATGCAGGATTTGTCAGTCAGGGAAATGAATTTTCGTACTACATGATGATATGCTCTAGTTTTATTCTTAACCAGTAAGAATAAGGCTTCTCTGTTTCTTGTTGACCTTTTTTTGTTTTGAAGTCACAGTGGTGCTGTTCTAATGTTTGAGTCTCTTCTCTCTTTATTTTCAATCAATTTGGCTTGATGAAACATTTAAGTTCCCAAACTGCCGATGAGTGGACAATTTATCCTTGGATTCACGGCAATTGCAATTCATTATCAGACAGTGATCAACTTCGTCCTGTCTCAATGCCAGATATTCATCCTGCGAGGTATATACATTGATTCTTTTAATAAAATAAAATTTATTAGTAGAATAAAAGGCTATGAAGCACCGATACTTCAATTTGCTTCACGTATCCATATCTGTTACGTCATATCGTGTCAGATACTTCAATTATACATATCGATGAAGTATCTATGTCTATGAAGTATCAATATTTTACTTGTTTTACATGTAATACTTTTAGATCATTTATCGACATGAATATCAGTTAAATGTCCAAACTTTTAAATAATTTATATTCAATAAAAAAAACATATATGTATGCATAAAATAGAAACATATAATATTATTTTTCATAAATCCAAGAAAAAATTGTTCTTATAAACTTTTTTAAGAAATTAATGAGATTGATAGTGTTATTCTTATATGTAAATAACAGAAAATATTTTATAATGACAATTATTTATATTTTTTATTTCCACAATATCTAAAAAATATGATTTGAAGTTTGGATTTGCATGATTATAGGTTTTTAGTTATTATATTTCATGATTGTTTTTACATTTTTACCTATATATCTTATACATTTTTTCTAGAATAAACATATCATCGTATGTATTATATCTGATACTCGTGTACTCATGCACTATAGATAAAAGGTTAGAAAAATGAACCATATTGATTGTTAGAGTCGTAAAATATAGTTTTTTAATGCTATTGTATCATAACTTATCAATATTACATTACTAGACATTATCTAATATCAGCATAATGAGTTAGGGATGAAACCATAATTAATATATGATATATTTTAGAGAACAAAATTATTAAATTTAAGTGGTTGTGTTTGATCTCTGAAACTCCATTCTCTAATAAAAAGAATAAAAATTTTAGTTTCAACATGGTTGCAAGCTTGTGCTTTGTCCTCTCTTGAATCCTAAAAGGCTCACACACGAGGGGCTATCTGAGCATGTTAGAGATTTAACAAAAATCATTTGTGCTTATTCACCTGGCATCTCAATCTTTTGGGATAATTAGAATATAATAACACGATTTTCAGTTGGTTAGGTAGTTTGTTCTTTTAGGCTCAAAAAGTAATACCTGGTCAACTATGTTCCTGTTATCAGAGACAGTTAATGTAGAAGATTAGTTGTGTGTAGAAATATTATAATATCCATAAATCTTCCGGTATCATATATCACATCTTATTATCATAATAATCTTGGACCAGTGCAGTGCTGGAATTACTGAAGGCTTTTCCATGTGCGGAGGTGATTTTGTTGAAGTCTACAGTGATTCAAGCCAAGTTGGTAGGACAAATTGCCTACAGCTATTTATATTTTTTATTTTTTGATAATCAATATTATGTCAGCTGCTCTAAAAAGTAAACTTCAAACATTGAAGTTTTTCATTGTGTCTACTTATGCTCTTTTGATTCATCATGTTAAATTAAGCAACAAATTTACAGTACAATCAAGTGAATATACAAACAAAAATGGAAAGAATAGTGAATAGAGAAGTGCACACACATAGCATGAGAGAGATGATGAATTTGTATGTGTTGAGACATGTTTTTCTATCTTGTTGTACTCTTTGTATGTTCTTTAACCTAGGGTTAAGGGTTTGGGTTGAGGCTCATATCCTCTCTGTGTATTTCCTTTATCTATAAATATAATGTATGTTTTGAAACCCCAAATAAGTTTCTCAAGTTGGTAGCAGAGCAGATACGATCCTGCAATGATTTCCGGTAATCCCTGTCATATCCGGCCGCTGTGGGCCATTGTTTACCGCGGCCACCATCTTAGGTTGGTCCGGTGATGGTGGGGTTTTGTACGCCTTGAAGAGCAAGACCCAACCCCGCCAATCGCTCCTCCATCTGCGGCCCCACACGCCATCACGCGTAGTTTCTCCAGGCAGAGCTCTCAGGTGCATGTGTCCCACATGCTGCCCTCTAGTGGCCGGAATCAAGGCCGATTACCACTGGTTGACTCGCTAGCGTCCTCCGAGTCCAGTGATGCCCTTATTTTTCTATTTTGAGAACTTTTGAAGCTAGGTCGCGTGGGTACGCCTATTGGTTAGGTTTATCTTTCATCTTTGATTCAGATGACTTCATCTAAACCGGATATGAAGATCTCTGATGAGGAGTAACAAGAGTTTTTTAAGTTCAAATCAAGAAAATTCAACAGTCAGGGTCAATCTTCTTCAATGCCTAGTGTTTCAACAACATGCATTTCTCAATCTATGGAAGGTCAAAACTCATGAATTCTTGATTCAGTGCCTCTAATAATATATCTGGTAATAGTTCCTCATTTGATTACTCTGGCTAATGGATCTAAAGTAAAGTCACAAGGAATTGACCATGTTCCTTTAACCCCTTCTCTGAATTTAAATTTTGTTCTTTTCATTCCTAATTACTCTTATAACTTGATTTCTCTAAATCAATTGACTCATTCTTTGAATTGTTCTGTAATCTTTAATTCCAATTCTTTTGTTATTCAGGAACATGGTACAGGTCATCTGATTGGAGAAGGACATGAATCACGTGGTCTGTACTAGCTGAATCCAAGTCCTTCAGTATCATGTCTTGCTTCTCTTGCTCCTAAACTTTTGCATGATCGTGTGGGTCATCCAAGTTTACCAAAGTTGAAAGTGATGACTCCCAATCTCAAATATCTTCGGGGTTTAGAATATGAATCCTTGTCAATTAGGAAAACATGTTAGGTCTACCTTTCCTAAATATTTTGAAACTCGATGTAATTTTCGTTTTTCAAATATTCATTCTGATGTTTGGGGACCAAGTCGTATCTCTTCTTTTAGCTTCCAATATTTTGTAATCTTTATTGATGAAATTTTTAGATATACTTGGGTTTATATATTGAAGACAAGTCTGGAATTTTGTCCATTTTTTGTCCTTATTCCATGAAATTAAAAATCAATTTGGGAAGATAATTAAAGTTCTCAGAAGTGATAATAACAAAGAATATTTTTTAGCCTCCTTCTCTTCTTTTTTATCTTCCCAAGTCATTTTACATCAGTCAACTTGTCTTCATACTCCACAATAAAATGGTATTGCCGAAACGAAAAATAGGCATCTTATTGAGACTGCACGCTCTCTAATGTTGAATGTCAATGTCCCTATTTATCATTGGGGAGATGTACTTCTCATTACTTGTTTTCTGATCAATCAAATGCCATCTTCTTCTCTTCAAAATCAAATTCCTCATTCCTTTATCTTTCTAGATGATCCTCTTTATCATGTGTCTCCTCATGTATTTGGTTGTACCTGTTCTATACATAATATCTCTCCAAGTGCTAAGGCCATTAAATGTGTCTTCTTGGGATACTCGCCTCCAAAGAGGGTACAAATGTTATTCTTCATCCACCAAAAGGTATTATATGTATGTTGATGTCACATTCTTTCAGGAAACACCCTTCTTTTCTCCCCCCATGGAGGATGGTTCCTCTATTCAAAATGTTCTTCCTATACCCTCATGTGATCCACTTATAATACCTAATCCTTCTCCAATTCAACCTCCAGATCTTAATGATTCTCCTCCTCTTCTTACATATCACCATAGGACCCCACCTACACTTTTACCAGATTCTACATATAATCGTGATTCAGAACCTTCACCAGCTTCTCATACCATGGATCCTTCAACCTCCTCTCCCACTTCTGATTCAGGATGGCCTATTACACTCAGAAAAGGTATTCGTTCCTCTCGAAATCCCTTTCCTATTTATAAATTTTTAAGTTACCATCGTTTGTCTCCTTCATATTCCTCTTTTGTTGTCTCTTTGGCTGACATCACTATTCCTAGTACTGTCTATGAGGCTCTTGATCACCATGGATGGCGAGAAGCCATGATTGATGAAATACAGGCTCTTGAGCACAATGCCACTTAGGAGCTTGTCCCTCTTCCTCTTGACAAAAAGGTTGTGGGTTGTTAGTGGGTCTATGTAGTTAAAGTTGATAATAATGGTAAAGTGGATCGTCTTAAAACTCATTTAGTAGGCTCGTTTAGTAGCTAAAGCCTACACTCAAATTTATGTCCTCGACTACTGTGATACCTTCTCTCTAGTAGCTAAGATTTTCACTATTTGTCTTTTCCTTATTATGACTGCTATTCGTCTTTTCCTTACTATGGTTGTTATTCGTTCATTGGCCTCTTCACTAACTGGACATTAAAAAGACCATTTTTCATAGTGATCTTGAACAAGAGATTTATATGGAACAACATCCTGGCTTTGTTGCTCGGGGGGCTAGTTTAGTGTGTCAGCTACGCCGGTCTCTTTATGGCTTGAAACAGTCATCCCGAGCTTGGTTTGGGAAATTCAGTTATGTTCTGTAATTGTTTGGCTTGAAAAGGAGTGAAGCAGATCACTCAGTGTTTTATTGTCATTCCTCATCAGAAAATGTGTGTATCTTATGGTTTATGTTGATGATATTGTTATTACAGGCAATGATTATAATAAGATAAGCCAACTGAAGAAGCATCACTTCCAAACCAAAGATCTTGGTCAATTAAAGTATTTCCTTGGTATTGAAGTGGCTCATTCAAAGGAAGGTGTGATTGACATTCTGAAGGAGATAGGTTTAACAAATTGTAAACATATTGATACTCCAATGGACCCTAATTAGAAGTTAATGGGAGATAAAGGAGAAAAGTTGTCATACCCAAAGAGATACAGGAGGTTGGTTGGTAAACTCATATATCTTACTGTTGAAAGTCCCACATCGCCTACCTCATATTATTTGGTATGGTTTAAATACATGTTAGGCTACTCCACATACAACCAATTGGTTTTATGTTGGAACCTTAACATGGTATCAGAGCCAAAGCCTAACATCTTTCCGGTTATTGTCATGGGGCAAAAGTTGCCCTTTAGTTGGGTCAAAAGTACCCTTTGCCTGGTCCGGCAGGCTTCGTTGGAGGGGGGGTGTTGAAAGTCCCACATCGCCTACCTCATATCATTTGGTATGGTTTAAATACATGTTAGGCTACTCCACATATAGCCAATTGGTTTTATGTTGGAACCTTAACACTTACTATTACCCGACCGAATCTTTCTTATGCAGTTGGAGTAGTTAGCCAATTTATGCAAAATTCTTGTACTGATCACTGGGGATGCCTTGATTCGCATTATGAGATATGTTAAAGGGGCCCCAGGACAAGGATTGTGATATGAAAATAAAGGTAATACTCAAATTTTAGGTTATTATGATGTAGATTGGGCTGATTATCCCATTGATAAAAGATCTACTACTAGGTATTATATGTTTATTGGAGAGAATTTGATTTCTTGAAAGAGTAAAAAGCAAAGTGTTGTTGCTCGATCTAGTGCAAAAGCTGAGTATAGATCTATGACACTTGATATATGTGAACTTGTGTGGATCAAACAACTCCTTGAAGAATTAAAATTCTGTGAAATGGACAGATGAAGTTATTTTGTGATAATCAGGCACATATTTTGTGATAATGGACAAATGAAGTTGTTTTGTGGATTAAAAAACTCCTTCAACAATCTAAAAGTTGACGCTTCAAATGCTATACAATACTTTAGTACACTTGGAGCACTTTGAAGTTCTCGTAGGAAGGTGGGAGAGAGGCTAAGAAAATTATTGCAGGGCCTTCATCATCTACCTCCATGTCTATGTCTCGAAGCTCCAACAAAATTGAATTATTGAGTTCATCAAGATGGCCCTTTAGTGGCCTAACATTCTTCATGCTGAATCCAAAGAGCCATATCTTTAACAAGAAGTTGTTATAGATGGATTTCATCATGAATAGCTTTTGCAACTTTAGACACAATTTTGATGAAGTTTTTTCTTCAACAACTTCATAAAAAACATTGTTTGATAGTGATAGAAAAAACATCAAATGTGTCTTTTCTTGTTTATCTAGAACAGACTTCTCACCATGTAACTTATTGCGAGATAGAGGTGCCCACACTCCTTCCTCCTTCAGCAAGGCCCTTATCTAATCCCATTGAGCTTCTCAGTCTTTGATTTGATGATCATCTTCTTACAACATAATCACAAAGATACAATCACAAAGATACAATCACAAACAAATGTGGAACTAAAAAACAAACCAAGCTATGATACCAGTTTGTTGTGCAACAAAACGATGAGTAAACGTACAAACATCAATGGAAACAATGGTGAATATAGAAGTACACAAAAGAGACTATAACAATTCATATGTAATGCTTAAATTAGCAAACAACCCATCCATTAAGTACCCCAATGTCACCCTATATTTAGGGGAACAAAAGTTTGTTAGACATATCGTTACTAAATAGAAAACAAAAATGTTGATTGCAGTCATCAAACAATCTACTGGTCCAATAGTACGTCATATAATAGATCCAATAAAATTCATTAGGATAGGTTTTGATTCCATATTAAAAAATGTGAATATGGGCCTAACATTGATGATATGGGTGATTTCCATAGCCTCACATCGTAGATATGGGTGGTCTTATAACATGTGGTACAATGATCCCAAACATCAGTAGGATATTCTCCAGGCCTAATTCAATCCTACAAAATCTGAATTGTAAGGTGATGTTTGCATTTACTTATATATTACCATTAAACCATACACTTATGTACGACAATTAAGTGACTTGTTGGTCTGTACTACTTCAAACTTACATGGTACTGATTCGGAACGAACTAAATAATTTTGTTCTTTATCAAATTTGAACCATGACACTTAGACTTTGAACAGAGGATCACTGTTGCATAATTTTTTAGTTAATTATTTCTGTCTGGATATACTATTAAGAAGTTCATTATAATTCCTACTCTACCATCTATATTTAAATAATGTGGTATATAAAATGCTATCGCTAATATAATAATCTCTAACTAGACTTAAAATGGCCATGCAGGTGCATGGGATGCAGTTGTGACGTGTTTCTTTATTGACACTGCTCATAATATTGTTGAGTACATTGAAGTAATTTCAAAAATTTTGAAAGATGGGGGAGTAAGTTCCTGAATCTAAACTCTTTGTCATTTTCAGTTTACTTTTGTACTTCATGCCGGATTCATTGATATCATATCATGACAGGTTTGGATAAATTTGGGACCTCTACTGTATCACTTTGCAGATGTGTATGGGCAGGAGGATGTACGATTCCTTTTCTTGTTTCATATTATTGTAGCATTACATGCTTGTTGTGTATTATCTTATTCTCCAAGTTGTCTGTAGGAAATGTCCATTGAATTGAGTTTGGAAGATGTTAAAAGGGTCGCATTAAATTATGGGTTTGAATTTGAGGTAATCTCGACTGTTTTGGATAATGCCCTTTTCTATTTATAAGGGGGACTAAATCATATTTGCATTATCTTATCATGGGGTGCAGAAAGAAAGCACAATTGAGACAACTTACACCACAAATCCTAGATCAATGATGCAAGTAAGCTTCTAACTGTGCACAAGTGTTCCTTTATATCCACATCTATTTGCGGATTAGTTGTTCTTAAATCCCTAACATTCTTCTGGCATAAGTTTGTAGTCTCAGGAATTTCAAACTGCCTAAATGCGCCATTGAACAACTTTAAGAATTATGCAGAAATTATATTGATATTAGCTTGTCATGATAATCAAGATAATCTATTTTGAACAAAAGTGAAATAAAATGTTATTATAAAAATATAGTTATAAAATTATATTGCTTATTAAACGCACTACTGATTTATATATGTACCGATTTTGATTCTACAAATGTATTAAATGTTTTATTTTAATGAGCATATAATAATGAGTTGTAATTTTCTTTGCAGATTCTATAAATGTATTAAATGTTTTATTTTAATGAGCATATAATAATGAGTTATAATTTTCTTTGCAGAATCGTTACTTTGCTGCATTTTGGACCATGAGAAAAAAATCTGGTGCAGTGCAATTGCATGTACTCTGATAATGAAAGATTCGACTACAATTATCCTTTTGAATTTATGAAATTCTGATAATTTCATCTGTTGAATATTGTTTTTCGTTAAAAATTAAATATAATAGTTTTTATGATGTGTATCAGTTTTCAAATACTGAATAAAATAATTGTTTTAAAATTAACCTCCATTATAACATAATGTCAATTGCATGAGTAGTATAACGAATACATTTTGTTTTTATTCCCTTTATATATATATATATATATATATATATATATATATATATATATATATATATATATATATATATATATATATATATATAATTTTGAAAATTCACCAGCTTAATATTTAGGTTTTTTTGGCAAGAAAGACAATAATTTAAAATCTACAATATAATTAATGATTTACATGTGTCCTATGCTTCATATATTTTGATTGACTGGACAATAATATTTCATTGCCTAGGAAATTTTATAACTAATAAAGTTTTAGAGATGCTTTAGGAAATTTCATAACTAATATAGTTTTAGAGATGCTTTTCATGAACGAATTTGTAGTTTTGGATGTACTTTTGAATGCATGTCTTGTTTTTGATGTACACTTCATGAAAGCATATCTAGTTTGGATGTGCCGTAGAAAATGGTTTTTATTGGTTGCCAATGTTCTGGAGATTCTTTTAATATAGTGATTCATTAGCACGTTTATCTTTATCACCTATTAAAAACAAATAAATACAATTTACAAATTGTTATTTTCCTAGATTCAAGCAATGTGTTACGAAGTGTAACTCTAATTTACTCGAATAGGTTCAACGTTGAAAAGTTTCAATTGCATATTATTTGGTAAAAATTATTACAAATACATTTTTATATGCAACTTTGAGTTTTACAAAGAAAATTATTTCATAATGTAGCTAACTTTAATATTTAATATTTTAGAAATCATAGAAAATAATATTTAATATAAAGAAAATTAGTGATTGTACTAATTCATTTATTTTAAGAGTAACAATTAATAATTTATATTATGTATTAGATTATATGAAAATGAGCAAAAAAAATATAAGTAGTTATGATCTTCCTACATCTATATATAAAAATTCGTTTACCAAGAATACATAAGAAAAACATTTTGAATTGATGATTCATTGTCGAAAATGGTTTAGAATCTAATTCTTATTTTTAAAGTAAATGATTTTCTTCTCTTGTTTAAATAAAAAAAAAGTATATTAAGTTCAAATGAATCATAATTTATAAACTAACATTAAACAAATAATATTTTTTATTATATTTTATGAAGTAATTTTTAAAATATATTGTTAGTTAGTGAATAGATTTCCAACTGATGAGAGAGTTGCCAATTATAAACTATAGCTAATAACATAATGTATTGTGTCCAAGTTTGAAACATTATCAAAATTAGAGATTGATGAGTTCCAAATTACCCTAGAGATACGAGAGGTCGTTCCTAGGAGGATCGGTAGGAGTATTACTAAAAGGGAGGTTTCCTCTGGACCCTTCATTTTTAATTTACTTAAAATTTTTTTCCTAAGTTTTTCACTTATTTTCACTTTTCTTTTGTAGACTTACTTTTTGCACCTCCTTTTTGAAGAATACCATATCTTTTCGTTGGAAAAGAGGGTTTGGATACATAGGATACATGGGTGGGCAGTCCAAAGGTGTAAGATACTCCTTTTTCATGTCTTACACTACACCCCTTTTTGAAGAGGAAGAAGCTTAGCTTACCGGTGTAATTGGATTTGGATAGCCCATAAAGGATCTCACCTCCTTTTTCATGTTCTCCACACCTTAGAGGCATTTTTGGCGGGCTAGGACAAATTTAAAATATTTGAGCCATGGGGACTCTTAGCCTTTAGGTTTAGGTTAAGTTTATATCTCTTTTTGTAATTCCATCTAGGTCCCCCCCCCCAAAAGCCTATAAGTAGAAGACTTCTCCCTCATGTAATTAGGTTGAACGTTTATGACAAGTTTATGAGGTTTCTTTGAGTGTCTTATCTTGAATCTTGGTTCAAGTAGCAACAATCATCACTTATCTAAGGTGGCTCATTCCTTAGTGGCGTACCAACACTTCACTACCACCACATTGAAAGCAATGAGGGGGAGAATGATGGAAATGTCCTTACATTCCCAAGAGATGATTTTGATGATGATTCAAGTAAACTACATTCAAGTCAACATCATTCAAGATGAATTAAGGACAAGATGAATTTATGACGTTGGTGAAAATGTGAAACATTTTCCTACATGCCCAAGATATGTTTTTGATAAAGATGATGATTCAAGTAAGCCCAAGATGATTCCTGAAGACTAGATAGAGTTTTAGAATACTGGATATGGAGGTACAAGTTGATGAAGTAATATTATGCATAAGCCTCCAAAGCACAAATTCGATAAAATTCATAACGTGATATTTTTCTCTGTCATAATTAATTATGATGCATCAGAAATAGAAAAATGATTTTCTCTATCATAATAGATTATACTGATAATATAATCAATTATGGCAATTCAAATTTGAAAAATATATCCGTTTTAAAGAATAAATGTTTTTGAATACATCCTGATTTTCTCTATGATATTATTAATGTCCAACGACCATTTTTTGATTCTATTTTTCTATTTAATTAAGTTTTGATGAAAAATAAAAAACACACAATTACAGAATTTAAAAATACAATTTACATTCAATCAGTTTTGATAAAAGAATTCTGAGCAAGACAACAGATATATTTTACACCTTTTGAGAAAACCCTCTTCTCTACTGCCTTCTGTGCTTTCATTGTTAATCACACTTGTTCTTGGAGATTGACATTCTACAGGCTTCTACAATTTGTTGTGTCTCCATTACCCAGGTGTGTCTGTTCTTATTTTTATTACCTTCATCCTTTGTGTATTGGTGGCAAAGGAGGTGTTTTCATCCTTAGATTTGTTCAAAGGAGGTTTTCATCCCTAGTGTGATTCTAGGGAGGTGTTCATCCTTAGTGGGATTCTAAGGAGGTTTTTTTCATCCTTTGATTTGTTCAAAGGAGGTGTTCATCCCTAGTGGGATTCTAGGGAGGTGTTCATCCTTAGTGGGTTTCTAAGGAGATGATTGTCTTTTTAATTAGTTTACTTTTTACTAGTTCTTCTGCTGAGTTGATTGTAATTTGTAAACTGAATTTGAAAGATAGTGAATGAAGAGTCACTCTTGTGTTAAGAGTTGACTGGGAACTGGATGTAGGGTTGACTATACCCGAACTGTAACATCCAAGTATTTCCCAAAAATATTTCATTAATATAATAAAATATTTTGTCATTAACTTTAATAAAATGGTATTATGAGTTATTTTAAGACTTGATAATTTTTAAAGACATTAATAAATAATATATATATATATATTATGAAATTTGTAATAGTGTGAAATACATAAATTTAGAATTGATTTTAAAATGAAGTAATAATAATAATAAGAGTAATATCATTAAGCAAAATTAGTAATATAATTTCCCATTGATGAAAGGATTTAATTGGTAAGTGCAAATTTAAGTGAGGGTAATTTTGGAAAGGAAGTTAAATTTAAAGAAGAGAAAAACAAATTTTCTTTCTTACTTACGGAAGCCATTTTGGGAGCACGGGAGGAAGAAGAGAAGCTTGGTTTTGCTTGCCCACACCATCTTGGTTCATCCTTTTTGCAATTAAGAGTAAGATCCATGAAATTAAAGCATTGAATTTCAATATTATCTCCTAAAATCTTCTTAATCTCAAACATATGGTCATTTTGATGCTTATAGGAGACAAACTTTTTTTGAACTAAGGATCTCCATTTTCTTGTTTGAAAGCTTCATTTGAGGTGAGGAGAGTCTTCTTGTCAACAACCCTAGGCTAAACCACCATTTATCTCACTTCTACATGAATTGGAACCAAATTAGAATATTTTATAAAAATTTCGTATCACTGTTCTAGTATATTTAGATACTCTACAATGCTCTTTTCATATTTTAGAGTTTAGAAATGGATTCATTGGATGCTAAAACCTAGAGTTTGCCATAAAAATCACTTAAATTGGATTATTCTAGAGGAAGATGATGAAATATGTGTTGAGAGATGTTATTGGACAAAAATCTGCATGCGAATAGAATCTTTGGGAAATTATGTAAAAATATTTACTTGGTATTTAATTCTAAAATTTTGATTACACGTTTGTCTATATGTTTAGTTTGTGTGTGATTTATTTCAAAATTTTCTGACCAGTTAATTTTCGATGAAAAATCTTGGAAGTAAATAGGTTTTAAGTTGGGTGAAACAGAATTATTATGTCTGCTCAACAACTTTGAAAAATCATATAAAATTGAAATTAAAGTTTTTTGACATGAACTTTTTATCATAGTTTTTATTATAGGTATATGTTGAGCATATTTATTTTCATAATTTTATAATCATTAATTAATTTTATAAAAATATATCTTTGAGTAATGCTCTGATAGTGGAATCTTCAAAACGTATGAAAAGGGAGGAAAGTTTTGAATGACTTAGAAATCTTTAAATTTTGAGTTATAATTTTTATTATAATCCTATAATATATGTATTTTGGACTTGAAAATTTCATAGAATTTGGAGTTAGTTTAGATGGCAAAGAATTTTTCCAAAGTTACACTTTTCTAATGCTTATGATAAACTTTTCTTCCTAGAGGTATAAACAAAACTTTAGTTATGTACCTATTATTTATTTTATGAGTATGTATGATGTGAGAATGATAGTGTAATGAGATATTTTGGGACACAAGATTAGAATAACAAGAGTTTAAAAAAATTTGATGGATCAAAATGTGTACTGAGTCCGAGAGTGTCCGCCCCTCAGCAAATTGATATTGTTCTTGTTCCCATCGCGTCGCTCCGACCGCCTCGTTTTGACGGCGGCCTTAATAATATTCGGAACAATCTTGTTTCCCTTCCACCTCGACACAGTAGATCAAGCCGTCATGGACGCCTTCTTCGCTTGGGACGTGAACTCGAAGAGTCCCTT